CAAACCTTGTAATTTGACCGACCTTACATGATTATTTCCTCTGTATTCTTGCTGTAACAGATCCCAGGTTTCTTTTGTAGTCACCTCATTCAAAATTCTAGGAAAGAGCTCATCTGAAATAGCTCCTTGGATGAGGTCCTATGCTTTTGCATCTTGCTTCAGAAGCTCAGACAACGCCGACTTGTCCAATGTCTTCGTCTCCTTCATCTTGGCTTTTGGATCTGGAGTTCGTACACCTTCTTCAACCAGATCCCATACAATCTAAGGAGCGCCATTGTTCTAATCCTCAAGAGCAAATAGTTTTCTCCATTGAAAATTGGAGTTCGTGACTCCCTTCCAACCGAACCAGACATATGATGCTAAATCGATTTAGGTATGAAGATTTTGCATTGAAATCTTTGAATACTTTCAGCGGAAACAACGCCCAGATTCAAGATCAAACCTGGCTCAATGATACCATGTTGAAATTTGAAGTACTATTTTGGATTTTAGGAAAGAAAGGGAAGGACAAGAAGAAAGACTACAAAATTCTATATTTCAGACAAAATGAACATGCCTGATGTAGTGCCCGGTTTGGGTACTGTAACAATTGTTCTTGCCCGATATTTATAGAAAGGAATGCACTGGCTCATGTTGAGCTCAGCTACACACACACACATATCAAAAAATGGTTACATCCAGATCAATACAAAATTGATATGCCAATGTGTGTATGACACTTGGCAATTTCCTACAAGCCTTTTAGCCACAAAATTCTCGCAACCGTAAACGGGACTTAAGTTGTTAATTAGTCATAATTAGCTGTAAAACTATAAAACTGTAAAAGTAAATCAGTAAAACCAATTTACACATCAACAGGCATGCCCATCTGCCCAGACATTGCGACATTGCTTTAGTCCATGCCTGAAAAATTCCACCAGATTAATTAATGTTAATTAATAATTAAACCCAAATGCTCATATTAATTTCATGCTGCTATAATCATATAAATTCACATATAAATATATCATACCAATGAGTTGACATGTTATATTGTGCATGGCTGGTGACATTAACAAGAAGTGTATCTCCTCTGGCATAAACTGTAGGTCTAGGGAATATCCCATTTACTGTAACAATAGGCATAGAAGGGCACAACCTGCTCACGTTCTTCACTTAAACCTAAAAATAGATGTGGAAATAAATAAATAGATTGTAAATACATCATAACATCTATCTATGGTTTGCCATTATGGCCAACGGGGTATAGGCCAGTGGATCTCAAGTTCGAACTCCCATGGCACATTGATCATGTGTGAGAAACCCTCATTTCCTTGTAGTTTAGACTATCGCTTGTTTTGTTTTTTTATTTTATTTTAAAAAATCTGCAATTGTGAAGTGCTCACATCGAATTGGTATGTCTTCAAAGCAGCTCTTGCTGGAGTTAAAAAGAACCCAACTAAACATAACAAGAAAAGTGCAAAACCCCAGCAGAAATTATTAAGGCCAGCCCTGACATTTTGGTGGCCCATGGCCAAAAATTAAATGAGGCTCTTAGTATGTATGTTTTTTAATTTATAATTTTTTAATACTTTGCTCATTCCTTTTTCTTTTTATGAATAGGGGGCAAAGTCCCAGAAAACAACTAAGCCTGCTTAAATAGAATAATTTCATTCAACTAACAAAAAAAGAAAAACCAAAAGTACATGATCCATAAACAACAAAAATCATATTTAGGTTCATAGAGCTTCTAAAATTTCAACAAAACAAAACAAAAGTTCTCAAGTGGCTTAGTGGCTCTTCAATAGGGCTTAGTTCTCAATTGGCTCAATTGTACACAAAAATTTGCTTTGACTTCCACTCCATCATCTACAAATCAAAAAACAAAAGCAGTAACATTAAAAATACAAACAATCACTGAATTTTTTTTTTATCTTCTAGCATTTTGAGAAGCAAAATCATCAGTAACCTCTTCAAAATCAATTTTCCATCATATTCTTTTCAATAAATAAGATTACCAATTCATTTAACCTTTCTTGTAACATAGTTTATCACAAATATAATTGTATTAATTTTAATTTTGAAAAACTTCTTTATGCAAATGCCACAGTTATTGGCAAAGTCAATATAATTCTATAAGCAATTGAGACATTTGGAAAACAATCCACAAACTTTTACAAACTTAAGAACTTCAACGGTTGTCTTTGTCTCTTTCAGTAAATACATTTGTAACACTTCCAATTCAGAAAACAAATCATCAGCATTACTATCAGATTCATTATCATGTGTTAAAGCAGCTTCAAGATTTCTACAATATTCACGTAATCTACTATAATTCATTTGAAAGAAATTCTTAGGATCAAACAAAAAACCAAAACTGCCTTCAAATATTTCTAATTGTTCAAATCTTCTCCTCAAAGAAGAAATTGCAGCATCAACGACAACAAGAAAATAATTAACCCTAAAAGATTCTTTAGCACATTGAAATGTCTCTTCATGGTCATTTTCATCAAATTGTTTTTTTCTTTGACTTTGACCTTTTTCAGGAAATACAGGGTCAATTTCCATCTTTGATGCAATCTCAAATTTTATTATAATCCACTATAAATTACGACTTGCACATTGGAGTGAGATATACAAACAACCACAATATGGTAAAATTCCCATTAAAATGTTTTGCAGTATTGATGTAACCAGTTTCATTTCTCTATTTAAACTATTTAAAGTCCTTAATACTATGGTAAGCGAAACAATAACCACCTTGCTTCTGAGCCAGTTTTTTATTTTTTTATTTCATAAATATTTTTATTTTTATTTTTCCATTATCTGGTCGTATTGAGTCTTTTTGTCCTGGGCTGGGTTAGTGACTGCATTAGAGTTTTTACTGTATCACCACCAGTGGGGCTTTCTTTCAGTCTATACAACATGAACACTGTCGAGGGGTAAAATGGGAGTAAACTAAATTATACTCTAGAGTGATACTACAATATATGGGCATGCTTACTAATCAGGAATTAGGATAACTAAGAATCAGAGTAACCATGAATCGAGTTAATCAATCAGAGTCATGCAAACTATCAGGAATAAATAGAATTCATTCCCATTAAAATGTTTACTATCCATCGCGAATAAGAATGAAAAAACATTTGGATTATGAAAATGCCTTTAAACAAAATATGTTTTTTTTTTTCCAAAGACTACTACAATTTTTCAAATGATTTTTTTTTGGGGAGAGGGGTATTTTTGGCATGAAAAACTTGATTCCCTTCACCCTTCCCCAATCCCACCTCTCTCATTCAAAATCAAGTCTCTCTACGACAATGGTGTGGCAGGTGAGAAGTGACGGCTATAGCATCTCAGATTTAGGATTTCTTATTTTGTGTTTATATTGGGCTGGATGTTTGTTTTTGGGCCTCCACTGTTATAATTTTCTTTTATTTATTTATTTATGTTTGGCTGGGGTCTTGTACTTATTGGTGATGAGCTATTTTTATTTTTGTATTTTCTACCAGTGTAATCCATTTAATTTTAAGTGAAATGAATTACTCTGTCCAATAAGCTTATTTGAGGAACACTCTTATAGGGCTTAACACACATTGTTTTACAATAATCCGAACTATCTAATTTTTAGATATTCCCTCAAAGATCATATTTGCAAAAAATCACTTGAATCCGAAACCATTTGGCCACTCAATTAGATTATTGTTATTTTAGTCTTTTCTTGAAGCATTGTGTTCATCTATTTTGTTGCTATCAATTAGATGCCTTAATGATTTTCAATTTTTATGATTTTTGGCAAAGATGATCTATGAATGTAGACTTAAAAAATAGATGGGTTGGATCGTTGAAAAAAAAATCGTACTTTGAGGAATCTCTCAATATAAGGGGAATATATACATACAAAGAGCTTTCATTGAGATATCCCTGAGGGACACCCTTAAAGGGCTCACTCTGCATTGTGTTTCACTAATCAAAACCGTCTATTTTTTAGATAATCATTCAAAGATCATCTCTACAAAAAATCATTTGATACCCAATATCATTTAACCACTCAATTGAGTTATTGAAATTTTAGTACTTTCTTGAAGCACCATGTTCATTGATTTTGTAGGACACAATTATATGTCGAAATGGTTTCTGATTTGTCTAATTTTTTGTAAGGATGATCTATGAATGTAGACTTAAAATATAGATGGTTTGGATCGTTGAAAAAAAATCATAGAGGACTCTATAAAGTGTCCCTCAAATAAGATTTCAAATGTAGTGAGGGCAGGGACAGACCCAGGATTTCAAATGCGGGTGAGCTAAATTTATCTTATGCACAAACCTTACTAAGAAGATAGAAAACGATAGTACGAGTGAATTTCATTGATAAGAAGAAAGAAAAAAAAACCTAATCAGGAGAACATAATGAGTTTTACCACTCAAAATACATCAAATATATATATATCTTTTTTGTCTGTATGCGTGGAGTGAAAGCGTAGTTATTTTCTACCAAAAAAGAAAATAAAAGGGGTTGTTTTCGAACAAAAAAGAAAAAGAAGCGGGTTGTTTGTGCTGGCCTTTGGCCCCTTTTTGTACCAAAAGAAAAAGTGAATTATGAGTGTATTACGTGGCTGTCCATTAGCTGGGCTGGCTAGTTTAGGCTGACAAAAGGCAAAGTCACCTGAGCTATAGTCCAAGGTAGTGAAAGTATATAGGTTCATTTCTAAATGACGGTACACATTGAGTTAAAATCACGAGCAAAAATATTTTCAATACGAATGATTAATATCAATAATTTAAGCTCACAAGTTGCCCACAGGCATGAATACAATTTAAACTGGCTCAAATGAGAATGAAACACATTTTTATCATGAGAGAGTACCTAACAATGTTGTACATTCGATGTCTGTCTGTAGGAATGTGTCAATTGAGATATTCCAGCCATGTGGACCTTTTGTTTCTCCTCTCGTCTGGACATGACGACACATAAAGGAACCTTGCAAATGAAAAGCTCTCCAAGAGAACGATGCTCTCCTCCAGGAGAAGGTATGCTGTCCTGTGAAGTATTCCATCAATATGCTATGATTTTTTTGACAACTATAAAAGTTAATTGGATGCAAAACTGGGCAAAATCCTTTCGGAAAGACTAAAATAAGAAATACCAGTTAAGACAGTTTTATTTGAAGAACATACCTGAATTTGATTTGAGAGTTGATAGTGAAACATTGGATGCAAGGAGTGTCTGAGAGAGAGGTCATATCATATGATGACTTCATCATTTATCTTGATGCAAGGAATGTGAGATATGGCTGCCCAATCATCTCCCGTCTTATTCTCATACGTTTTCTCCAGGGCAGAACAATTGGAGATGCTCAGAAAAGAAAGAGAAGTGATGTTTTTAAGTCCTTTTCCGTCCAAAGATTTCAGACTTGAAAGTTCACTGATCTGGAGGCGTTGAAGAGTGGTAGGGAGCAGCTGTTGCTTGAGCAAGGTCTCCAAGATTTCGTGACTTCCCTTGCCACCAATTGTAAATTTTTCAAGGGAGACAAGTCCTTGCAAACCCCAGTACACTCCCACTGATGAAGGCCTCAGTCTCTCACAATTCTCAATGCCAAAATATTGGAGGTTGGGAGGCAAACCCCCATCTTCTGCAACTGACTCCAGATTTGGAAGATTGGTTATCCTCAAATCTCGAAGGGCTGTGAGGGTGTGAATACGTTCAGGTAATAACTTCAACTTCTCGCATTCACCAACTTCCAATAGAGTCAGGTTGGGAGTGGGCAATCCTCGCTGGGGAAAACACACCAGATTTGGACAGCCTGAGATAGACAATGTATTGAGATGACCAACTCCATCTTCAATGGAAAGGGATTCCAGATTCTCACAATTCCTAATGTAAAGCCACGTCAATTTGGGAAAAATGCCCAACGGGAAGGACCTCATTGAATCACAGCTATTCTCTATCCAGAAAAAGTCAAGCGATGTCAATTTGGCCAACATCTCATGAGGTAGGAATTCTAATCTCCTACAATTCCATAGAGAAACTGATGTCAACGAAGTGGGCAGGCCATCTTTGGGGAACGACGATAGGGTTGGACAATTCCAAACACACAAACGTTGAAGACGATTGGTGTTGGGCAAGCACGGTATGTCATCAAAATTTCCAACGTCAAGTACGGACAATAACTTTGCCTCTTGTAATGACACACCTGTTTGGCATCCATAATCTAATTTAATTTTCAGTTCTTGAAGAGATTTGTAGGAGTTCATGTTAAGACTGGTACCAGTAGTAGAAGTGGCCCTTTGATCATGTAACTCCGCACACCCATACACGCTAAGTTTCTTCAAGCAAGGCAGATCACAAGGCAAACTTCCTCTCAGCTTCGGACACTCATTTAGAATCAACACTTGGAGACGAGGAAAGTCTGGACCATGTTCACCTCCACTTGCACTTGGTACCCATTCCTCCCACTCTGCCATCTCCTCAAACTCCAGCTTCTCCAGTGACTGAAATGGCTGAATTAGAGACGCTTCATTTCTGCCATAAAACTCAACACCAATTGTCTTGACAAATTTCATCCTTTCTACGCGGAGCTCTTTGAGAGCAGGTAACCCTCCAACTGGTGGCAGTGACCAACAATAAGGACAATCGCTGAGATGCATGATTTGTATGTTGGAGAAGGATGAGTCTCCTAACCAATTCGGGAAGTTGGTTCCACCATAAAATTTGATGGTCAGTTTCTCCAAACTAATTGAAGGCTGGAGCTTGTCAAGTACATGTCTAACTTTTTCAGAATCATTCGAGTCTTCATCGCCCCATGCCAACTCTAACTCCTTGAGATCCTTCTTATTCTTCAAATTGGCTTGCACGGCATCCTTAGCATCAACTACATTTTGCAGCTTTAGAATTGAAAGTTTTCCTCGAAGATGCGTAAGCTCCCCCAATTCTCCAATGGTTGACCCAGAAGATTTCCCCACAAAAAAAGCGGTCAACGTTCTCAAACTCTTTAGTCTACTCATTTGCGCTGGCATCTCTGCAATTGTAGTTCCACTAATATCAAGATGACGCAAACTAATTAATTCCCACATGTCTACAGGCAATTTAGCAAGAGACGCACAACCTCCCAGCATTAATTTCTGTAAATTTACCAATTTTCTCAAGTCTGCAGGTAATTCAACGAGAGAGGAACAATTTGACAGTAGTAATGTCTGCAAATTGTACAAACTGCAAAGTACACCAGGTAACCTTTCAATTGCAGTACCAGAGAGATCCAAATAACGCAACTGAATGAGATTTTTAATAGAATCATGTAACTGAGTGACATTCCAATAATGTGACAATGATAACACCCGTAAACATCTGAGTGATGGCAACAAATCTTGTAGAACCTTTTTACTTAGATAATACTCTTCGTAAGAGTAATATGGATTTAAAGAGTGAGGTAGGAAGGTCCGCAAACACTTAGCCCCCTTTAATGGCCCAAATTTAAGAGCATCATCAAATTTTCCCCTTGCATATGACAAATGGCGAACTTTTTCCACTTCATGTGATTCCCTCCCTTCCCACTTGGAACAAAATCCTTTAGACATGAACACGGCCAAGTCATGTATGAGATCATGCATAGTGAAACTTGACTTCCCTGGCATTTGAAACAATGATCGGGATAACAGTTCATCAAAATATTCCTTAGCCATCTCTTCCATTATTTCCCCATTCTCAGCTTGGGGAATTAAACCTTCTCCCATCCAAAGAAAAACAACATCTTCTACCTTGAATTCATAGTCCTTCGGCAAAATTGAACAATAAACAAAGCATCGTTTTAATTTAGCTGGAAGATAATAATAACGCAATCCTAGAGCAGGAGAATGTCACTTTTCTGGTAAGGTAACTCCCAAATGCTACTGTTTAGTACTTTGTTCCATACCTCAAAGTCTAGCTTGGAACGTAACGCACCGCCAAGTGTTTGTGCAGCTAAAGGCAACCCATTGCACTTGCGTGCAATTTTCTTGCCGATTTCTTCCAAGCTTGGATGTGCACTACAGTTTACATTTCCAAACGCATGTTTCTCAAGTAATAACCAGCAATCTTCATGCGACAATGGTTCCAAGGTTTGAATAGGAACGTTTTGCATAAAAGATGCTACATTTTTGTTCCGTGTTGTTACGAGGACTTTACTTCCCCTTGCCCCTGAAGTAAAAGGAGTTTGGAGGCAGTTCCAATCACTATATTTCTCATTCCAAAGGTCATCCAACACAAATAAAAATTTCTTGCCCTTTATTTGTTGTCCTAGCTCAACTTGAAGAAAACTCAGGTCTTTATTATCGTAAGCTTTTGAACTGACTGACTCAAGTAGAGTTTTAGTTACCCTAGTAACATCGAAATCTTCCGAAACATAAGCCCAAGTTCTAAGATTAAAATGCTCTTTCACTTTGTCATCATTATAAAGGAGCTGAGCGAGGGTTGTCTTGCCAACCCCGCCCATTCCCACTATGGTGATGACAGATACATCCTTGTTGCTTGCTTCATCAGATAACAAGAGGTTCATCAGCTTTTCTTTATCTCCATCCCTACCGTACACACAAGATTCATCCACCAAGGAAGTTGTTGGAGTTCTTTGAGAAACCTTCCCCCCAACAACACCTTCTCTCAGCCCAAGGAATTCCCTTTGCTTTGCAAGGTGCTCTAACCTTTCAAGCAACTTATGTATCCTACCCTTCATGCCTTGATAATTATGATTAAGAAAAGTAGGGAGGAAGTCCCGCACCTTATTCGTGACGGTTTGAAATTCAGCTTCCACCTTGCATCGCAAAACTTTAGCATTGATCTCATGCAGAAGGTCATCCGCATCAAAGACACCATCTTGAAGCTTATTGAGCCACTCCTTCACGTAGCTGTTCAGGAATTGCTTCTCCTCCGCGTCATTAAGCACCGCATTAAGGCTCAACAACGTTATCTCCAGTTTCTTCACAAGCGACTCGTCCAGTTTCTTTCTCCGGAACAAGTCCACGAACTCGCTGGAACCAATCTTGTCAAACAGCACCTGCACGGAGGCAGAGAGAATAGCCTCTCCAACCAAAGCCATGTTTCGATTCTTTGCAAGGATTTGGACTTGAGTTAAGATTTGAAGCAAGTTTTGCAGCGAAGGATTAGGCTGGTGAGAAGTTGAGATTTATGTTGCTCTCAGTATCATTGACTCTGAAGTCTTCGCGTGAGAATATATTATTGCAAAAAGACAAGTGCGTTTGTATCCTGGGGAACCCACACGGTTAGACTCATCATAAAGCTGTCGTCCATTATTGTGTCCTAAGATTTTTGGTAAATAAAGCTTTTAGGCTTAATTTTTGATATACCCTGAAAGTCCATTTTTGACATCAATTTATTAATTTTGAAATCTATATATAAAACTCAAATTCTAATTAAAGATATAAAACATCATAATATTCCTACATATTTACAGTATTTGCCACTAGACTTCAAATAAGTCAACTGGATAATTTTCAAGCATGTCATTAAGTCCCTTATTTTTAATTAATATTTCCTCATTTATAGCATATCAATGACTTCGATTTTCTTTTGGCATTCCCTCTAATCCCTGAAATTTCGACTAAAAAAAAAAA